AGCGAAGAGTTCACCAACGACCGAATCGCCTTCGATCTCATGATAAGCAGCCCATGGTGGCAGCGATCTTGGACCGTCCAAGAAGTCATCCTACCCAAATCCACCATCCTCTGGTACGGGACCTACCATACGACCTGGAACAGCTTCGCACAAGCGATCCGAAACCAAGACACGCGAGTCAGTTACTGCTGCCTACCTGAGACTCTAGAAACAAAGAAACATTGGCTTAAGATCAAAGTCATTGATGCTTTCATGTACGAGCATGAGACGATCAATTGGTTCCGAGAGTATTACCACGGCAGCATTGCCACTATACCTGGTCATACATCCACTATCGACGGAGTGATGCCATTCAAAGAAACGCTACTCTCCTTCTCGAAGCGACAGTGTCATGACCCCCGCGACAAAGTCTTTTCCTTCCTAGCGCTAGCACCACCGCGGATGTTCGACAACTACAAACCGGACTACACGGAACCCTTAGCGGAGACCTGGACGGATGTATACCGACTGATGCTAGATCACACTGCTGATGTTTCAGCTGTTCTGCAAGGCAATGGGTTTGGGCCGAATGGCAACGGCAGACCATCTTGGGTTCGCGATCTTGCTAGTATGCCCACCGACCCCATGTATGAGCGCCACAGGCTTAGCCTTGCCGGAATGTACCAATGCAGTGGAGAATCAGTGGGCACATTCATCTCAACCGACAACGGTGAGCTGCATGTCAAAGCACGGGAAGCAGATGTCATTCGTCATGTGAGCACACCACACACTCTTAAATCTGGTCCGAGGGCGATGATGGCCAACATGAGACATTGGCACCAACTGGCCATGCAAGTGCTATCCTGCACCAACGAAGCGATCATCCGAAAGCCTTTCCAACGCACACTATGCGCAACGCTGCACTCGATGAAAGAAGGTTCCTCATGGCGCCGCAGTACAGATGAGGATCTGCCTAGTCTCCAAGACTGGCAAGAGTTTCTGGATTCGGAGCCTGACGTCTTTCCGTTTCACTCAACGTATCTGTCGCCGGTTATAGTGGCCGCGGAGGATCGCTGCTTTTACATCACGGACAAGGGGAACATGGGATTGGCTTATCCTGGTGTAAGGCCTGGGGATGAGGTTTGCGCTTTGATGGGGATGCGAGTGCCGGTTGTATTGCGGAAGGCAGAGGGAGAGCACGATGATAGGAATGCTTATCATTTCATCGGAGACTGCTTTCTACTCGATCACATGGATGGGGAGATCATGCGGAATGAGGAGGAGATTAGGGAGGTTGTTCTTGTCTGACATCGCCACGATTCACAACACGAGAGAGCGTAAAAGACTTAACAAGATGAACTACTGGGCTTAGAGACGGAGCGCGTCCCATTCCACGTGAACTATGGAGCTCGCTACGAAACATTGAACACCTGACTACCAGAGACATGTGTCCAACCCACTTGCTGACCAATCTTAGAATCGTAGTTGTTGAACGTCGCATTCCTGTTATCCTGTTTCCGATGTCAGTGTTGGCCCGATGTTCGCATTGGCATGAAGTTACTCGCCTCTGACTGCAAAGTCTCGATAACAGCTCGGTTGAGTTCCTTGTCTTGCAATGCCGCAATCTCTTTCAATGCACGGAGACAGTCTCTGGAGCTGATCTCCGACACTTCTGTTCTGCACAGTCTACGCTGTTCTTCGCATGCTGCGGGGAACAATTGCACGAGATCGCTGACGAGATCCGTGATATCTTCGATCAACCTCTTGAAATGCTTCTCTTCGTAAAGTGCCCACTGCACCTTTTGCCGTAACGGTGTACTATTCTGGCGTTTGATGGATAGAGAGCGCATTCTTTCGTGTAGCAATTGACCTACAGGCTCCATGTCTGTGGCTGAGTCTAAAGTCGCAAGGTTCCACTCGACTTCTCCTGCCCGGTTTTTGTACTTAGTCGAAATACCCTCAGCGTTTGCGAACAGATCCAGTATCTGTGACAGTACTCTTTCGGCTGCGGCTACATCTCCCGGCGGTCCTGTTGCTAGCCTGACATTGTGAGCGTTGCTGAAGTCGCTGTCCAAACCAACAGATTCGCCCCAACGCGAAAGTCGCAGTCTTGCATTATCCAGCTTGAGTAGGCTAGTTTGGAAATTAGTGCCGAAAGCACGTCCAAGTCGGATGTATTCGAAGCAGTCTATGGCGTTGTTGAAGGTGCTTGCAAGGGCCACGATCCCAAATGCAAGACCAGCTGGTTCCATGGTGAGAGTCAGCGAAAAGACGAGGATGCTGATATAAGAAGAAAGCCCACGAAAGGAATGTTTGATAGATCGCGATAATGCGGGAACGCTCGCGTTTTCGTTGTTGCTCACGCGGAAGGCTGAACCGCTGCGTGTGGCGCCATCGGCTGCATGAGCCTTCAGCCGTCCAGAAGTCTGCCTCGCAGAATCTCTCTGTGGCTGCCTCAGTCCTGCCATGCGCACAATACTTTCCCTAAGCCGACATCCGTTGCCCTATCCCCTTGCACTGCCTTGCTTCTCCTGTGACATGTCGCACATCTTCGCCCTTGCTACTTAGCAGCCATGGATCCACATACACCCGCTCAGCCTTGCAGCTTCAATAACGACGGTGGGAGGCTTGCCATCCAAACGGGGGCGTATCATAACCATGGCCAAACAGTTGTGAAGTATGCGCACTGCTTCGGGATGGAAGATAAGTCCAGGGTTGCTGACGGAGGAACAGTCAAACCTCGGCCGACAAGCTCAAGCGATTGCCGCACGCCGTCGAGGCGCCGTTCAACGCGTACATCAGGCAGCACGAGCCTTTCTGCCTCCCCTCGACACGAACCGCCCTCTTAGAAGCGATATACGATTGGACAGATGCACAAGACGAACGATGTTTGTACTGGTTGAGTGGACTCGCTGGTACGGGAAAGTCGACAATCGCGCGGACTGTGGCTCGCAGGCTCAACGATCAAAGACGCCTAGGGGCCAGCTTCTTCTTCTCCAAAGGCGGCGGCGATGTTAGTCATGCGGGCAAATTCGTAACCAGCATCGCCGTCCAGCTTGCGAGTCATGTCCCAGGAATACATCAGCATTTAGCTGATGTACTTAAGAAGTTCCCTAATATCTCGAGTCTTTCGTTGCGCGACCAGTGGCGCCACCTTGTCCTTGACTTTTCATTTGCACCAGCCCTTACAATCGACGCCAGTTCTGTCATCCTAGTTGTTGATGCGCTGGACGAGTGCGATAACGGCGACGACATCGGAAGAATCATTGAGCTGTTGGCTGAAGCTCGGGACCTGGACGGACTACGACTCCGAATACTTGTAACGAGCAGACCTGAAGTACCGATTCGACATGGTTTTGAGTCTTTTGACCACATGTCGAGCACGCTGCTCCAGCGCTACGTGCTACATCGCATAGCGCCCAACATAGTCAATGCTGACATAGCGCTCTTCCTGAGCCACAATCTAAAGACTATCGGTAAACAACAATACCTAACTGCGAATTGGCCCGGTGCTAGGGTCATTGCAACGATGACAGAGAAGGCCAGTGGTCTTTTCGTCTGGGCGGCGACAGCGTGTAGATTCATCCAAAAAGGAAGACGATTTGCGGAGCGGAGATTGAAGTCGATCATGAAGGATGATGACCGTCCGATGGAGCCCGAAAAACATCTCGACAACTTATACCTTACCGTTCTGCGAGACTCACTCTCTCCTGAATACACCGCAGAAGAGAAAGAAGATCATTGCAAGATGCTGAGACTCGTGCTCGGAACCCTGACAGTCCTGCATGTACCTCTCAGTGTGCAAGCGCTGGGTGAGCTGCTGGGCGTGGGCAGAGAAGGCATCGAACGGATCGTCCAAGACTTGCATGCAATCCTTGATCTGCCGGAAGATGAGAATCGAACAGTCCGCCTTCATCATCCCTCCTTACGTGACTTTCTTCTCGATCGAAATCGATGCACGGATATCAACTTTTGTGTAGACGAAGCACAAGCGCATAGTGTTGTAACGTCCAAGTGTGTTGAGCTAATGACACGCTTTTCCCAAGACAATCAAGACATACACGCAGAGATCAAGTTTAGCTGTTCGCCTTCCGGGATTTTACTTTCACATTCTCTGGGGCTGTGGTACGCGTGTCTACACTGGTATTTTCACTTCGACAAAAGCGAGATTGAGCTTGCTAAGAATACTCAAGGTCTCGTCATCCGTGAGGAGTATCCTTTCAATTGGCTAGCACGATGTGCTGCAATACGTCCGTGGGGAAGGATAGATTCAATCAAGGCCTACGGAGATCTGTACGCCAAACTCGAACTTGTATTAAAGAAAGTTGAAGCATAATGCTTACGGTACGCATCGGTACTCCATTTATTTTTCTTTCTCCGCAGGTTTTAGCTCTTTCTATGCTTTTGGACAAGTTCTTAGAGCAACAAACTTCACATCTTAGTTTTAACCACTGAATCTCTAAGGAGTTACATTCAGCTTCAATTCTTGAATGGGTTATTGAGGAGATCTGCCGCGTTGTGGGCGCAGTTCAGCGCGCTAATACATTTACCAACAAATACAAGGGCGAAGTTTCATTCTTCTATCTCTCCCTCTGAAAGATGGCAGCAGCACATAATTGTAGTGTAACTTGAGTTATTAAGCTAAGATTTCAGAATGAATTGTGATCGCAATCCACTAAACCTGAGTCTCACACTCGACAGGTAGTTGGACACGTAGCTGTACCAACGAGCTCTGGGCGTCGTTGCGAGTAGCTAAGGGGGAGTATCATCTCAGTTAAAGATTTTATAACATTTTGATATCCAGACTAGCTGAGAAGATATGTGCCCAACCACCGGTGGATGGCAGTAGGGTATCGTAGACCAAAAAAAAAACAAATACTCAAACAAAACAAGACAAAGCTCGCAAAAAAGCGCAACACACAGACCAGACAAACTGTCGCCCAAAGTGATAAAGATATGCCTCCGACTCCCCCATCCTAGTCCCACCACATTATGCATATAAACCGTCGTTCGTAATCCACCTATCTCCTCGCATCACTCTCCCTCCGATTACTAGGCGCAATACTGCTTCCTCTCCTCATGCGATCACTAGGCGCAATGCTACTCGCCGCAATACTAACAACATCGCTCATGCTATCCTGATCGCGCTGGTAACTATACTGCATGCCCGAGTCAGGGCCTTTGAAGCCGTTGTCCCAAGCCGAGATGCGCGAAAGAAGCCTACACACCCAAATTAAAACGATTCTTCTTGCACAGCAGCGAGATACGCAATGTGCGATGTGGATGTAGATGTATGTGTGCCCTTACCGATCGTCTGGCGGACCGTAGTATTCTTCTGGGATGAGCTCGTAGTCGCCCTCGACGGGGAGGTAGAAGGCGGATACGGCGATGGCGACGGAGGTGAGGAAGAGGATGGTCCAGCTGGCGGTGCAGAGGGTCCAGGAGAGGTCGAGATGCCAGCCGGACCAGAAGCGCTCGTCGTGGTCGAAGAGGAAGGCCTGGGCGTGTGACTGTTAGCATGCTTTGCTTCTGCGATGGGCATGGGACCCTGCAGAAGCAGGGAAAACGCGGGGAAAGACACGTACCACTATGGCCATGCCGGCGCACTGGACGATGGCGCTGAAGGAGAGGACGCCAACGGCTACCTGCCAGCCCGCGGCGCGGCGCTGGACTCCGCCTGAGATGATGACGATGAAGGAGACGATGGCGCAGAGCTCGACGACGACGCCGAAGGAGGTCAGGAAACCGACTGTCCGCCACATGTTGCAGAAGGACGGGTCCTTTGTGCAGTCACTCATCTTGGGGAAGGGGACACAGGTGCCCGTGACGGCGGAGCAGCGACTGTGGAGGCCGTACGAGTATTCGCGCTTGCCGTCGGGGCTGTAGCTGACCCATCGCGGCATCGAGATACTGGCGATGGTCATGATGGTGCCTGCGCAGTCAGTCAGTCTCATTTTCCTTTGTAGCGGCATTATCATCGTCTCTTACAGGCCAGTGTGAGGATGAGGCCCACGCCATATACAATTCTTCGCGTCATGGTGGATGTGTAATTACTGTCTCAGCGGGTGGTGAGAAGTTTCGCCTCGAGACTTTTGTCGAATCGAGACGGTGGCGCAAAGGGAGGAGTTGCGGGGTTTATGATGCGGCGGGATGCGCGATTAGGTGTGAGGCGTGCAGTTGCAGCGTGCGTGCGTGCAGGACGGAGAGGCTCTAACTCTAGGCGGCGGTTGAGTACAAAGGGTGGGTTGGCAGGCGCGACCGAGCGAATAGATAAACAGTCGCCAGGTGACTGAGAGCAGGCGCAGGTGCGGGGAGGACGGATTCAGCCGGGGCTACACGGGGTCAGAGCGACACCATGATATGGGTGCGAGTTGGCTGATGGGTGGGTGTGAAAAACGCTGCTCTCCCGTCTGGAATCGCGCTAGGAGGGGGAGGATCGTGGTATGGCGAGGCGTGTGCTCCATGACGACAGGGGCGCTTGGACGCCTTTCCCCACGCGCCCCTAGCTTCACTTCACCGCTAGGACTTTTCCTCGACACCACCTACTGATAGCGCATAGCGCGTTGTGGGTATAGCCAGTGTCACGGTGTTCACATTCTCATTTCACGTATATACGTTATACGACATGTCCCCTTCACCAAGCGAGCGCGAAGGATTCATCGCTTCGGATGGCGCAAACACTGCATCGCATTTCGGAAAAGCGGTGTCAAATCCCATGTTGAGCTTTGCGCCATGCTCCGATCGCCGATCATGTCGTGATGGACATGGCATGATCCTAGGCTCTGCTACTTCCTTGAAACTTAAACTTTTGTCAAGTCTTGTGAACTTCCCAGTATCCTCCGACTCCAAGTCTTTGCGTGTCACAGGTACGAGGCATTTTTGGATGGGATGATGGATTGGCAGTTGCATACACTGATAAGGATCTGGTCACGCACACCAGCCACACCACCGATCAGCGTCAGCCCACCGGTATGCGAACTGTAGCAAACACGTGGGGCAGATGCGATATTGCAATGGTAAATCGCAGTACCGGCTGGATGCGAGTACAGCAATGGCCATTTGAGATTTGCCTCACCGCTTTAAGCCTCACGATTGATGTCGCTATACAGCTATTCTTGCTAGGCTAGGGAGGCCTCGGTGATAAGAGGCGCTGAGCTAGGTAGTAGGCAAGGACCTAGTGGATGCACTCCGCACTGCAGCATCATGCAGCTACCATATTGGCCTGCATCTGTCATTGGACGATTAGTGCTGCAACGGCGCATGCCTCGCACGGAGGAGAGAGCGAATTGATAACGACGCACGTCGTTGAAGGCTATTGGACCAACTGCCCGTCTAAGGATGGCATGTCCAGCCTGCAAGCTTACAATGGAGCTTTGAAAGTATACATATAGTACAGAGGACATATTCCTCGAATGGGTAGTGGTCTAGAAGACAACGTTCTCGGGGTTGCGCTCAGGCTGTGTCCTCGGCTTCTGCAGCATCTCGTAGCAGAGTATCGACGCCGCAACGCTGACATTCAAACTGTCGACTCCGACCTCGTTGGCCTCGCGGCCATGGGGGATTCCGACCTTGTATCTCGCCAGGTTGACCAGACTGGTCTTCAATCCAGTGCCCTCAGCACCCATCATGAGGATTGTGGGGTGCTCGGCAACTGGGCTGTGGTCGGCGGGAAGACGTTTCCTGCCCTGCGAAATAGTGTAAACTACTTTGTTGGATCCAGGCTCGGGTGCGTCTTCGGTTGAAGAGAGACTTGGGGGCGCAGGCGGAATGGCGTCGCTCGCGTAGATGCACCACCCTGCACCCGCGCTCTTTTTTAGGAAGTCGGTTGGGTCTCCGACCTTGAACAGCGGAATGGCTTCAGCGGCACCGGCCGAGGCCTTGACCGCGATGTGGCTCCAGTTTGCGGTATGGTGGGTCGGCGTGATGATGGCGTCCGCACCCAGGACATAGGCTGAGCGTGCAATAGCCCCAAGATTGCCTTCATCGACCTGTCTTTGTTAGCTATCATCTTATAGACGGTATTGTTGTATTTACTACTCCGTCCACGTAGAGGATCAGTGGGTGTCTCCACCCTCCCGACTTGTACGAGTACGGCTCTTGCTTGCCGTTGACGAGCACGTCTTCAGCGCTTTGGCTATCAAGTGTGACCCTGAAGCTCTCATCCTCAAGAGAAGCCGTCTTCAGCTCGGTAATGGGAGGGACGGGCAGAGGTGATGCCTCGAGAATCACCCCGTTGTGTGGTCGACCACTACTTGCTTTGTCCAGAGCGCGCATATACTCATCTCCAACTTCTTGTGTGATTGGGAATAGCTTGTGCGATCTGATCCGAGATATGAGGCCTTCTCTACTCGCACCTCGTGAGTGTACATAGAGGTTGTAGAATTTACGCCGGTTCGCCTTGATCGCAGCTACCACGCTCCCATACCCGTATACGAACTCTGAAGCGGCAGTCGTGTAAGGGAGTGACTCTGGTCCTCGGACGGAAGGTTTTTGTGTCTCCGTGCTACTTCTCGTCGCGGAATCGGGATCAGAAGACTCTCGGCCATGGCGTTCTCTTCTGGCGCCCTTCGAATCCGGTCTTTGAGAGAATCGCGGTTCGAAAGAACGATCGTTTTCATCCCGAGCTCGCGGACTGTATGATGTGGCATCATCACCCCTTTGGGAGGATCGAGCTTCAGTGACACCTTCGTCAGCTACATCGCGAGTGCGGGGCGTGTATGAAGGCGCCCTGTCGTCCCTCCAGTTTCTCTCAGGTCTCTGTTTCCGTGAGTCGTTGCGATCATTTGTCCTATGTTTCCGTAAGTCGCTGCGATCATTTGTCATACGCGGCCGGGGCCTATCGCCATCATCATAGCGTCGGAAAGTTCTTTGTGGGTGTATATCCCCGTTTCGTCTCCCCTCTGGATCCAGCCTGTGCGGAGATCGTTTTTTCTCGCCATACTGTCTCTCATATTCTTTTTGTGCCTCGCTGGGGCGGTGCGAGCCCTGCTCGACTCCCGTTCCGCGCGCATCTCTTCCAAAGCTGCTTTGTCGCTCTCGTTGAAACCCGCCTTGTCGTTCTCTTCCCAGATCACTTGATCGTTCTCTTCCAAAACCACTCGATCGATCTCTTCCAAAGCCGCTCGGTCGCTCTTCCTTGAACCGACTCGGCGCATCGTCATCGCGGGGTATACGTCCGAATCTGCTACTGCGAGGTGCTACAGTCGAGCGATCACCGAATCTTGGTTCTGGATCGTCACGAGGAGGACCAAATTTCTCGAACCGTGCCTCACGGCGAGTCACACGGCGATTCTTCACCGGTTCATCTCTTTCGTCGTTGCGGTCGTTTCGTGTCCGCGGTCGGAAGGGTCGATCTGGTCCACCCTGCCTGCCCCTCTCGATGGCGGCAGTAATTGATTTGTAGCGGAGGAAGGTGCGTGGGGTGACCAATTGGCGTGATCGCAGTAGCGTGCTACTAGTTAGGCAAGAATAAACCATAACAAGGTCAATTTGGCAGTCGTGGTGGAATTCGAGACTTAACTTGTAACCAGCGCTTTTGCGCTGCGACAAAAAGTTCCTGATTGCCAAGCCAGGCGTTCGCACTAAGACGACAAGCGCGGGACGCGAAGTCACGCGTCTGGCGTTTGGGCGCTATCATCGTTCACCGAGACGCGACGGAAACCACGGTACAGCAGCGCGCCTGCATCCCCATTCCCCACTCATCCCGCATTTCAAAGCTGTACATTGTATCTGCCAAGGATATCGAACCTTGTCCTAATTGATTTCTGCACCCCTCGACCGAGTCGGGCCCATCAGATGCTGTCGACATAGATCCCTTGCCAAAAGAGCCGTCCCGCAATCACGCACCACACTAGACGAACGCATCGCAGACCGCAAGATGAGTAGCGACGAAGATGGCGCGGCGCTTATGGCGGCGTTCAAGAAGAAGCCGCCACCAGGGCCCAAGGCAAACGCGGCCCTGAGTACTCCCCGCCCCGCGCCTACAAGGGAAGCGTCTGATTCCCCCGCTACAATGTCAATGCCAGACGATATGGACGAAGAGTTCACTATGCATATCGATACCCCTCCTCGCAAGCGGCGGGCGGTATGCGTTCGAATACCCTCAGCGAAAGTCAAGAAGACGGAGTACAGGTACTATGAACCTCAAGATGAAGTGGAGAAGATCCTGCGCGAGTTCTCTGGGAAGAAGGGCGAGATGGTTTACGAGGTCAGGCTGTCAGGTGACCGCGTCAAACAGGTGAGTGATTATATCTTGGATGTCTCAAATTCCCTTACTATCACCGGTAAAGGCAGCCCTCGCGCCGGGTGCAGTTGGTCCCGCTATATGAGCACCACCTCTGCTTGGAGTCCTTCTTCTCTACAACTATCTACTCGAAGTATCTTACTAAGTGTCTATAGATTACCTTCGAAGAGCTCCTCGAACTCAACGGTGGCCCAGAGGCACTACAAACCTTCCAACCCGACGACGATCCAAACGCGACCGGTAGCGACGACGACATGAGACTTCGTAATCGCGCAGGCAAGGCTGATCACGAGGGCTTTGTGGATATCTCGAACTTCCCCATCTCTTCTTCCGAAGACGACGATCAAGACGAGCTTGCCTCCGATTCACCAGGTCGTCGCAATGGCCGCTCACAAGGCTTGAGGCGCGCAGCCCGACGAGGACGTCCAACAAGAGGTCGCTCAGAGAACAGCGATCTCATTGCGCTCTCCACAAGTGATGAAGACTCCGAAGACGCCGGCAAGAAGCGGAAGGGTCGGCGTCGCAAAGGCGTACAACAACCCACACGACGTTCAACAAGACAGCCGACTCGAACAAACGCCAACGACAACGAAGACGATGACGAAGAATCGGAAGATGGAACCACAGACGAGTCCAGCGCCTCGGATATCCTCCGTTCAGATCTACTACCAGGTCGCAAACGCAAGGGACGTCCTCTGCGTGCTGCAAAGCCTGAGAAGATACCCCGAGCGGGAGTCCGACAATCTGATCGAGCAACACGTGCCACAAACAACATGCAAGAAGCGGGTATCAACGACGTCTATCGATCCGACTCGGCTCCGAAAGTGGCTGCACAGAAGGTCTCAGTCGTCCGAGAAGTGTTTCCGAATCTACCTCGAAGTGACCCTTTTCGTGCGCGACACGCCGGGGGTTGCGAAGTTTGCTTCGATGGCCCCAATGTTGCGCCTCTGGTCTACTGCCAAGGTTGCTCACTGGCTTACCACAAGAACTGCTTGGGCAACCGCTCCACGCGCGATCATCTAGTCACCAAGATTGGAGACGAGGAGTTCGTTCTACAATGCAAGAGGTGCATCAACTTCTACAAGAAGAAAGACGCAACTGCTCCTGATCTATCCAGATGTCAGGATTGCGCTATCTCGGGTCCTTCCTGTCGACCCTTTAGACGTCGCAAAACCACACAGCAGGAAATGAAGGAGCGCGAAGAAAACGACGGCCATGATCCAGTCGTCGACGTACCTTCTGAGCTTGTCAACGATCCCAACAATGTCATGTTCCGCTGCACTAAGTGCTCTCGTGCCTGGCATTACCATCATCTACCACCCATGTCGCAGTACGCTATGGACGTCAATCGCGACGACGAGGAGATGGCAGATGAGCGTTTCCGCGAATACTCTGGCAAATGGCTCTGCAAAGAGTGCGACGAGACTTTCGATCAGAAGGTAGGCGGTATCATCGCTTGGCGCCCGTCGGATGTTGAGACATACCGTCCGGGGACACCATGTGAACTCGTTTGCGAAGACGATAAGCAGTACTTGATCAAGTGGGAGAACGAGTCCTACTTCCGATCTGCATGGCACTCCGGAGCCTGGACTTGGGGTGTCACGGCTGCAGTCCAGCGCAAGGCCTTCTTTAAGCGCGAGGACGGACCGAAAATGCGGACCGAAGACGCCATCCCCGAGGAGTACCTTCGTATCGATATCGTCCTCGATATCAAGTACACGAGCTATGTCGAAGTCCGTAGTGAAGAGATTGACAAAGCTCGTATCAAGGAAGTTGACAAGGCGCTCATCAAGTACAAAGGACTCGGCTACGAAGATACAGTATGGGAGAGCGTACCAACCCCAGAAGACGGTGACAGGTGGCTTGACTTTGTCACTGCTTACAACGACTGGGTGGCCGGCCGCTACGTCAAGATTCCCAAGCAAGGACCACTCAAAGGACGCATTGAAAAGGCTCGCAGCACATCATTCGCCAAACTTGAGCGAGAGAAACAGCCTGATAACCTTGTTGGTGGTGAGCTGATGAAGTATCAGCTGGAGGGTCTCAACTGGCTTTACTACAAGTGGTACGACCAGAAGAACGCCATCCTCGCCGACGAGATGGGTCTCGGAAAGACGATTCAAGTCATTGCCTTTATGGCGACCCTCATCCAAGAGCACAACTGCTTCCCCTTCCTGATTGTAGTCCCCAACTCGACATGTGCCAATTGGCGACGAGAGATCAAGCAGTGGGCGCCGTCTCTTCGCGTGGTGGCTTACTTCGGGTCCGCCAAAGCTCGTGAGATGGCCTACCAGTACGAGATGTATCCCGAGAAGACAAAAGACTTGCGATGCCACATCGTCGTAACCTCCTACGACGCTGCCGCCGATGACAACTGCAGGAGGTTCTTCAGGGGTGTTAGCTGGGCAGGTCTCGTCGTTGACGAAGGCCAGCGCTTGAAGAACGACAAGTCCCAGTTGTATACAGCTCTCACAGCAGTTCGCGCGCCGTTCCGTCTTTTGTTGACTGGTACGCCGCTGCAGAATAACGCCCGTGAGCTCTTCAACTTGCTGCACTTCCTCGACGACACCATCGATGCTGCCGCGCTTGAGGAGCAGTACGCTGAGATGACAGCGGACAATATCCGAGAGCTTCATGACCAGATCCGGCCCTTCATTCTGCGACGTACTAAGGCCAAGGTCCTGACTTTCCTGCCGCCTTTGGGTCAGATCATTCTCCCCATCTCCATGAGCCATCTGCAGAAGCAAGTTTACAAGTCTATCTTGTCCAAGAGCCCGGAACTACTCAAAGCTCTCTTCACCTCCGACAAGCAGCTGAAGCAGCAGGAACGTGCCAACTTGAGCAATATTCTTATGCAGCTACGTAAGTGTCTTTGCCATCCGTTCGTCTATAGCAGGGAGATTGAAGAGCGAAGCGAAGTCGCCGCTGTCTCTCATCGCAATCTCGTCGAGGCTTCTGCCAAGCTCTCTCTTCTCGAGACCTTGCTTCCGAAGCTTCAGGAACGCGGTCATCGCGTGCTCATCTTCAGTCAGTTCCTCGACATGCTCAACATCATCGAAGACTTTTTGGACGGTATGCAGCTCCCGTACCAGCGCTTAGACGGTACCATGGGCTCTCTCGAGAAGCAGAAGCGCATCGACCAGTTCAACGCACCCGACTCGCCGCTATTCGCCTTCCTTCTATCCACACGTGCTGGTGGTGTAGGCATCAATCTTGCAACCGCTGACACCGTCATCATACTCGATCCTGATTGGAATCCTCATCAAGATCTTCAAGCCATTGCTCGAGCTCATCGTATCGGTCAGAAGAAGAAGGTGCTGTGTCTTCAGCTGGCTACTCGAGCGTCTGTAGAAGAGAAGATCATGCAAATGGGTAAGAAGAAGATGGCCCTTGACAAGGTCGTTGTTCAGGATCTGGACCGAGATGATCCCGAGGACGAGGACGTCGAGTCGATACTCAAGCATGGCGCGGCGGAACTCTTCAAAGACGACGATGCCGACCACGACATCCGGTACGACGATGCCTCCATCGACAAGCTACTCGATCGTAGCCAGATCGAGAATACAAAGACTGGTGACGATGACTCCGCGGAATCTCAGTTTGGCTTTGCCCGTATCTGGGTCAACGAGAAAGGCGCATTACAAGACGATTTCGACACGGTAGACGAGGAGGTTGCTCCAGATCCGGGTGTCTGGGACAAGATCTTGAAGGAACGACAAGCCGCCGCAGCCGCTGAAGCACTTGCAAAGGCGGAGGCTATGGGTCGAGGACGGCGGGCTAAACAAGTACGCAATGTCTTATCCTCCATTACTATAATTACTAACATCGTGCAGACTGTCGATTACGTGATAGATCCAAAAGATGCCGATGCAGCATCCGCCGCGGGAGACGATCGACGCGAGGAATCCGCATTACCGCCTTCACCAATCAAAAAGCCGAGCAGGAAGCGCAAAGCCAAGACAGGTTCCGAAAGCGATACTGACTTCCAGGCCGAGTCTGAAGACGAAAGCGAGCCTGAGCCTGGTCATGAGGACGTTGATGCCGCCAAGGAGCTGGGTCACGTTCGCCATCGCAGTACAACAAACAACGCCAGCTCTTCGCTGTACAAGCAGAATGGCGCAGGTGCGTCTCAAGTTCCTTCGTCAAAGTCCCCCACTGCACCTGTTCCTGTACAAACTACGCCTAAGAAGGGTGGTGTAAGAGCTGTCAGGTCGCCATTGAAGCCGGTAAAGATTGTGCCACCCAAAGGTGGTACTCGAATGAGACTTGAGCTCTCGACACATCTGAGCAGTGATGGTCGGAGTCATCCAGCCACTTCCTCAGACCAGGCGTCGTCACCCCATCCACCAGCCGCCTTCATCGACCTCTCCACACCACCACCAGAGTCATCGCCACAAGCCCCAAAGACTAACGAAGTGACAGTCAAACCCTTCGAGCGCGCCACCATCCCCATCCGTAACCCCCTCGAACCAACCTACGGCTCCTTCGGCAACCGCATTTGCCCCGCCTGCCACAAGAACCACCCTCAAGGCGCCTGCGAACTCAAAGCCGCCGGCGTCGAACATTGCAACCTCTGCGGCCTAGCCCATTTCGGCCACTCGCGCACCTGCCCACACATCAAATCCGAAACCCAAGTCCGGGAGATGCTCGAGGCGCTTAAGAACTCGCCCGAAAAGAAAGAACTCGTCGATGCGGCGATGAAGTATCTTCGTGGTGTCAAGGGCACGCTCGTACAGCAGAAGAAGAGGGATAGGGAGAAGGCGGCGCTGGCTAAGGGCCAGCCTGTTCCCCCACCTACTTACTCTGGTATGGGTCGTCCGCCTAAGAACGCGTATAACAGGCCGCCGGGTAGTATGAGTGGGAGTGTGAATGGTGCAGGTTCTGGCGCTGGTTCTGGCTCGGGTTCTGTGGGCCCGCCTATGTCTATGTCTGGAGGTTCTTCGAATGATCCGTCTCGTTCTTACGCCCAGTTCGCGCCTCAGGCACAGATGGAAGGGGTGTATGGTGGTGCGAATGGTGTTATGCAGCAAGCACAACGTATGGCTCAGCAGCAGCAGATGGTTCAACAGCTGCAAGGTCAAGGATATGACGATCAGCAGGTTGAGAATGCGCTGAGGGGCTTCTTGTTCCAGGGCTAGAGGCTGGGTGCGTCTTGAGAGACAGGGCCGGAAAAGGCGTTTTGGCATGGCAAGGTAGTTTGGCGTATGGAAATCATGCATGGGGTTTATGCTTGGTTTTTGAGGGATTGGAGCATGTTTGCTAGTCACATCGATACCCCGTAATGAACGTCAGAACGTCGTTCATACATCAAAATTATACGGTATTAGACATGTGTCGCTTGCCAACAATTTGTGCTTATCATACAGATCTCCATATGCAATACCACAATCATGAGTGTGAATCCCTCTACAATTGCCCACTCTCTTACTCCTCCTGAGTAGGCGGGTTCTCGCTCCAAACCCTAGGCATCGTTGTCAAGGCTGGACACCAGAGTGCCAGTCCTCGTCACAAGCTCTCCTTCCTCAGCGCCAGCGATAGTATCATGAGCATGTACAACGTCTCCCTCCTCGCCTTCCTCATAACCCTCCTCCCCCAGTCCCTCTCCCTCCTCCTCATCCCCCTCCCCAAGCGTCTCCCTCAAACTCTCAACCCAAGCATCATACTCGCCGACATCCTGCGTCCCCGCCCCAGCACCTAACACCTTCCCCCTCTGCTTCCCCTGCTCTTCCTTAGCAATCAACGCCTTCTCCAGAACCCCAATCTTAACCTCGTCTCCATCGCCTCCCAATGAACCCCCATCCCAACCCCCCTTCTCATCACTAACCAACCCGTTCCGCCAACAAAACGCCAACCACTGCCGCCAATGCTGATTTTGCTCCAAGACCTCAACGTTACCAATAACGAACAGCGCTTCTTTTGCTCGCGTGAGCGCGACATTCATCTTCCTACCTCCACCCACGATACCCAAGCCGGCCTTTTCGTCTTTAGCCAAAAACCTCTTCCGTGCTCGTGTTGTACATAGCACAACGACCCGTTTCTCGAGACCTTGGAAAGCTTCCAAGGGACCGATGTTGACGTCCCACAGTCCTGCGCCTCTGCCATACTCGGATGAACGGATCATTGAACGCAGGAGTTTGACTTGCGCGGCGAAGGGCGACATGATGCATATGTCTGATTGCTTGACGGAGGAATAGCGGTGGAGGGTTTGGACGATGTTGCAGGCGATGCGCGCTTCGGAGATGTTGTACCAGCCGCCGTTGTCACGTTCGATTTCGTCGAGGCCGGTGTGCGGGATGAAGAGGACGGGCCACTTGCGGCCGCGCCAGAGATCGGATTGTTGGAGTGGGGTGGTTGATAGAGGAGCCTCTGGGATCAGGGTATTGTTGTAGAAGAGAGCGCTTGGTACGCTGAGGATGGCAGGGTGGGAACGGTAGTTTCGGACTAGTAATGTGAATGGTGGGTATGTGATCGGTAACATTGATCGCTTCAGTACTGGTGAGCCGGATGATGGCTTGATCTTTGAGCGCGAGAGAGGGTGGTTCTCGTATAGCGGTCGTTGAAAAAGCCGGGCGAACAAGGACCTGCGTACGAGAAGGTTACGGGATGCAATTCGTGGCCCCAGCTGCTTTTCATCTCCTGCCATCACTACGCGTGGTTGGGTCGACGTGGTCGGATACGTGAATGGTGGGCATACAACGCTAATGGCAGGCAAAACGTCTAGTTCAGTAGCTTGAGCTGCCTCGTCTATAAGTAAGGCGCTCCAATGTAGCTTCGGATTGGGGATTTGGTCGTCTGGGTTGAAAGCTGATGACATATTCCTTTGTATAGTCCAGAGATCGTTGTTGGTCAATCTTGCGTCTGCCAGTATCGCCGCGTCTTGACAAGAGGTTACTACGATGTTGAAAGCCATGAGCTCCCGGAATGGTGGTAGACAGAACATGTCGTTCTCGATATGGCAGTACTGCAATAGCTCCCGTGGTACCTCGTTATCGGCCCTTCCTGGTCGGTTAAGTCGAAATAGCTCCTTTCGTGCGAGATATTCCTTGAGCCTGAGTGCCAGTGTATCCGCCGCTGCCTCTGATGGAGCGCATATTAGCATGTGTGCGACATCTGTAGTGTTTAACAGTTGCATTGCCGTCTCCACAAGCGTCTTTGTCTTTCCCGTGCCTGTTAAGGTTGAGATAACAAGTTAGTGTATGTCGTAGATGCGATTCGTACAGTTGTTCCCTTACCTGGCGGTCCACTGATCAAGTAAGGCACAGTCCCATATATGTTAGTACATATGTCGTTGACAGCATGCGCTTGTTCGTAGTTGACAGCGCGATCGAAAAGCTTGCGATGGGGAACTTTGCGCAGTGTAGTTTGAACTTCGCCATGAGTTTCATCGGGAAACAGGATTCTGAGACTCCAATCGTTATGAGAATCGTGGGATGCGACTCTCGTGGCGTCGGCGTTAAGTGTGGCATATTTGACACCAGGCGATTCGCCAAAATGATTTAGCCTGTCGTTCGAGGATGGGTAGCCATATGTCCGTGGGGAGAAGCCGACGAGTCTCAGCTCGGAGCTGAGGTGTGCCAAAGCTTTTCGCCGGCTTTGGAGGATGTTGAACTTCAGTGGAATGATGACATTAGCGAACATGCGCATGGGCGATACCGGTGGACATAGGCCATCTGCTTTGATATAGACTGTTTCTTGCGCACGGTTGACACCGAAGACTGCGGCATTGTGCTGTACGCCTGTCCAGGGCCTGAAGGCTATTGAAGGAGATCCCATGTATCCGAATTGGTAATCATCCACATAGTTTGGCATCAACGTTAAGGCCCCTGTTTCGTTAACATACAGTTGACGTATCTGAAGCACATCGCCCATTTCAATGTGTGGGTTATCTTCTCTTAGTCCTGGAACTAGCAGGCACCACAAGTCTCCCATTGGATGGTATTGCCAGAGCGGGACTTGATACATCGCGTATGATTCGTTTTCTTTCTCCTTCGCTACACGCTCTATGGCGGCCGATATGTCGAAGTGTTGCAGATAGGTGGACTCATTGAGCGACGTAGGAAAATCCGCTGCTGATCTGACTGTGTGATCTTCAGTTTCCGCGTAGGGTGGCGGTATAAAGCTTGTTCCGGTGAATGTATGTACGTAATTCTCAAAGTCGATCCAATGTCTAGGTCTTGTGTTGATGATGGTAGCCACTTCGGTGTTGATTGCTTGAAGACCTGGCGGAATGAAAGGCGCGGCGTATACATCATAATCCCATGCAATGTCAGCTGGGTCACTCTCGGAGGTATCATTGTTCCGGGAAGTTTCTGGTATACCTTGGTCCGTCGGTGAGACTTGCTGCTCTTTTGGCCTGAAAGCGATATTAGGAACGGCTACAAGCTTTGATATGTCCTTTTCCATGGTTTTACCGTGCTTATGTTGACCTGTGTTCACACCGGAAGTGTTATGCGGCCAGGTAGTTGCTTGGGGCATGGCGCTAGGGATTGTCGTAATGCTTTATGAAGTGCAAGCGGCAGTATTCACCAGGCGCGACTGCCAGACCTTTTGAGCCACGCCGTTCCCCAGACTGGCTGTATTGGGAAAGCTGAATGATGTCCTGGGTCAAACTTGGTATCATGGAAGATTTCCGCCAGAGATGCGAGAAGTTACTGCTATTGCGAACGAGCACTTCGTCGCAATATAAAGATCCCGAGAGGTAGGTTGAACCAGGAGCTGGCCTCCAGTGCTAGAGTACCCTAATATTCCAACAGAGATGAAGAATAGTATCTGGTGTACAAAAGGGGACAGGTTATTCCAAACATTAGACTCCGTGGATCACCCTTTTGGAAATGTGATGAACTGCGAGCGTTCGTTTGGCTGGAACGCGGGTGTTAGGAGGCTGAGGAATGAGGAAGCAAGCCGCATCAAACAGCGCTGATAGATATATTGTGATGTATACTTTCAAGAGATGGATTCAAATCGCGTCAATATCGGGCGTCGTTGTGGCAAGAGGTCTGGTGTTGTAGGTGTAATGTCGCGTAGCAGGCGTGGCAATCGGCCCTGCTTAGCGCCGCGCTAAGGCTCCGACCCAAACGCGTACCTACGTACGCGCTCCAGTCCATCTTCCAGCCACCCACGACGACTGGAGAGACAATGTCTATCATTTATTGTACGGTATCACATGTCGCTATCATATCAGCAGCATGGGAGCGTGTATCTTTTGTTATAAGATCGCTGATCAAACGCAGAGCGTTGTCTCGACGCGACTAGACGCGCTATCACAATTACGACAGCCCTACAGATAATCGTAAGATTTGCGTACACTACGCGAAAATTGTGACAGAAGCATGCGTTGTTCGGCTGGAGAATCGCATGTGTCATACATGTATCCACCCGTATGTTGTGCTGCATTGCTGCTATCGAGATCGATCTTGCTGCACTTCCCCGCAATACGTCATGATCCGAGGTTGTACAGGTGGACATCAATTTGTCGAACATGCCCCATCAGGAGAATAACATCTATCTTACTGTTGTGCGACCGAGCATCATCCTTTCTATTTCCCATCACATTTCCTCTACACTGCTTCATCCAACATGTCCAATCAGCAGCTGGTCGAAAGCAAAGGCATCTTCCACGGCCTACCTGTATACCCCTCGTCATTGAAAGGACTTACAGCCATTATAACCGGCGCAAATGGTATCTCTGGTAACTACATGCTGCGTGTGCTAGCGCAGGATCCCGAGCGATGGACGAAGATCTACTGTTTGTCAAGGCGACCACCCGCGATTCCAGATGGACTACCGAAGAATGCCGAGCACATACCTCTCGACTTTCTACAGGACTCAGAAGATATCGCGAAAGTGTTGAAGGATAAGGGTGTCAAGGCTGACTACGTCTTCTTCTACTCGTACGTTCAAGTCAAGCCGAAGGAGGGTGGTGGCTTGTGGAGCGACGCCGAGGAGATGTGCAAGGTGAACAGTACGTAATAGTTGATCTATAACTTCCCATTTTACGAAACTGACCTACCGCAGCCGCCCTTCTCAAGAACTTCTGTGAAGCTCTCCTCATAGCCAACATCAAGCCAAAGCGCATCATGCTCCAGACCGGCGCGAAGAACTACGGTATCCACCTCGGCCCTGCAGCTACTCCCCAGGAAGAAACAGCACCACGCGTCACTCTGGAACCCAACTTCTACTACCCCCAAGAAGACTTCCTCTGGGACTTTTGCAAAAAGCAGGGTATCGATTGGAACGTATGCATGCCAGCGGGCATCCTCGGCGCTGTGCCAGACGCCGCAATGAATCTTGTTTTTCCGCTGGGCGTCTACGCAAGTGTACAGAAACACCTAGGCGAGAAGCTCGAGTTCCCAACTGACCTGCAAGCATGGGAGGCGAACAGATGCATGTCGAGCAGCAAGATGAATGCGTATATGGAGCAATGGGCTGTGCTTGACGATGGGGCGAAGAACGAAAAGTTCAATACTATGGACGGTACGACCTTTACGTGGGGTAATTTCTGGCCAAAGTACGCGGGTTGGTATGGCATTGGCTATGAGACTCCCAGCCTGGACGACAGTGCCTACACGGTCATTACCACAAAGCACGATCCGCCTCCGCGAGGTTTTGGGCCACCAGCAAAGCTCCGCGTGCGGTTCACGCTGACGGATTGGGCAAAGCAAGAGAAGGTACAAAACGCATGGGAGGAGATCATTTCTAAACATGGTCTCAAGGTAGACAAGCTTCAAAATATGGATATCGACCGCATCTTTGGCTTTACGGACGGAGGACTAATGGGCTCTTCTCTGGATCTCACGATGAACAAGGCGCGGAAGATGGGATGGCATGGATTTGTCGATTCGAACGACGCTATTAGGGAGGTGCTTGGAGAGTTTGCAACCCTCAAGATGATTCCTGCTCTGGGCGCGTAGTCTGCGGAGCTCATATTAATTTCTCCTTAGGAAGAATAGTCTACGAAACACACGCATTTACGAACTTCGCGTTTCCAGACCTACTATACAGTACATGGACAAATAGACACCGAATACTGCATCACCGTCCGTTGAGTGAGTCATACTAAAACTGAGTGATGACTATGTATACCCTACGATGAAAGAGTTGTTTTGGCCCTGCTCTGTAGCACAATCAAAACAACCGAAAGAAATGCGTCCAGACATACCCCATCCGGAATGACCAGCGAGAAAGATTGCCCATAGAGGATGCTCCTGCGCTGATATCACAGTCGACATACCTTTCCAACATGGCTTTCGGTTTCGATTTTGACACCAGTTCGAGGTGTGAACGTTGTACACCGACTGGGTTACAGTTCTGTCATGCCCAGGACACTGCTTTGAAGCTTCTAAGCTGACGATAATCGTTTGGATGATCGAAAGCACTGAAACTATCCCAACAGAATCGCCATTGATACGACCGCAGAATGCTATGTCATGTAGCGGTAGTCTCGCCGGCTTTTCCAGGCTGAGGTAGAGAAGCCTATCAGCTGGACGAGTGACGGCGGGGCCAAAGTGGCATTCGCCGCCGCCGGTGTTCACAAGGGGAAAGCTTGACTCAGTGTCTGGAACGTTTGAACCGGAAGATGCAGCCTCAACGGACAGTCCGTACATTACGGTATTATCTTGAGTGTGAACCGAGCCTTGGGAGCGGACAACTGCGTTTGCCCAAAACTGGTCGAGACAACGAATACCGATTGCCTTTTCGGTAGGAGCCATTTCAAAAAATAGGCTCGGCAACACTGCGTACGCACCAGTCCTCCAGCCGATGACGCGTCGTATGTCGACATCTGCTTCTTGATCCACCCAATCTGGGCTTGACGCTGCATGGACCACGGCTAAAATTTGTACGGCTTTCCACAATGGAAATCCAAGACTGCTTGGTTGGGACTCATGACCTGGATGCAGGCCATTATCGATGATTGAGCTCATTGATGCTATCCAATCTGGTGTATCAAGAGCAATGTTCATGGAGTGGCGCAGGCTCTCAAAGTCTTCTGGGGCTAATCTGCTGGCAACCGATATGACAATAGAAGCTGAAATGATGCGAAAGTTGATCAACGCAGGTGGAAAGCCTGTTTCCCATCCAATACTCGAGCGCTGCTTTTGATCCAGGATGATGACCCAGTCCTCGGAGCCCGCGATCTTCTCGTAACAAGGCGCTAGCCATTCCGCTGCTGTTGGGAAATGGAAAGCGGCAAGCCGTATCGCAGAAGGAGTGGCTGCGAATTTCGGTTTCTTCCAGACTGGACAAGCTTGTACCTGACCCATGTTGGTAGAATGACTGCTTTTAACAAACCCGCTCTTCCATACGAAACTCAAGTGATCCTGGATGTATTGATAGACGTCCTCGAAACGAGACTGCAGAACTTCCGGGATGAGACCTGACTGTGTTTCCAATGTTGTACAGAACAGTGCTCCCACAGTATTATTTCTGTAGTGATGGATTTGCTGACCGTTTGGAAGCTCATCGTCACTCAGCCTCAACTTATCAGTTTCCACGTGTCCACCTAAGACGAGGACCAGCTCTTTGTCACCCAATGGTTGCTCTCCTTCCCCATCCCATGTTCTCACCTCACCGATGTTATAGCCTACAGCTCTCAGGAGTGTAGCAACACGAGTGACGAGGCTGCTGCGCGTCAGATACGCTTCCCGGTCTCGAGACGCGATCCACACCAAGAGCCCACCAACCAGCCCAATCTCAGATCCATCGTCGGCATGTATGAGGTGGCGCAGTTTTTTTCGATCGCCCGTAGGGACACCGAGGGTCTCGATCGCCGTGACGAATCGTTGCGGTAGGCCTCTGGCTGCGCCTTCGTTGAGTATTCTTCGGAGATTCTCCACCAGCTGGCCGTGTATCCCATCCCGCATCAACCCCTCTTTAAAAAGGGCAGGACCTAGGCATTTCATGAAAAGCTCTATTGCGGTCGGTCCTCCACATTCGTGAGCCAAAGCACAGATCGTAAGGCCAATGAGCTGCGTTACCCGGTCGCCGTCGAACGACTCTTCAATTTTCTCACCACCTACGTAAAATTGGCCATTACAGGTGAAGACCAATCCAGAGAGTGGCGATAATTGCAACTTGACATCAAAAATCTCCATCCACTCAACTTTCAACGGATCCTTGCGGAACTCCAGCAGGGTTTTCACCCCGTGCAAGCCTTTCAGGAAGCCCCAGGCTGAGTAGGCCGCTGAAACAGTCGCGAGCATGTCGGCAGGGCCAACCTGAACGTTTTGTAGCGATGCATCAGTCGATTTGGCGGCCCTGAAGACGAGAGTCATGGCAAATGGTAGTCGGGTGTTTCAAAATGATGGAGCCTAGGCTGAAGGTTGATGTAACAATCGTTGAAAGTAGCTTTCTCGACTGAGGCAGGTCTCTTATCAATGTGTCATTAGCCGAGTCTGCCTTATTCCAGAGGGCTTGACCCTACGGGCCTATAGGAAGAATACAAGCTGTAGGATGACAATCGGCTCACCACCAATAGATGCAGGTCAGAACCAGGGCAGAAAAAAGAAGCCTACAAACGTCATGTCATGGCGCAGCCGGTGAACAGCACAGTAGCGCAAGGGCTGCAATTTCTTGGATGGGTCCTCGTATCCAGATATAAAGAGCACGTGTGTTCGAGCGTGTGCTCTATCTTCCAAAGCCCCCGGCTGCGCAAAACGCGATAGACAGCTTCGTGATTGGCTAGACGTTTTTGTCGGCTTATGTTTCTAGTCAAGACGTAAACTCTTCCAGATGTCTCATGCGCGCAAGGTGTGTGAGAATACAAGGGCCGTCAACAGCTTTATGCTTGTGCTGGATTTTGGAAGTCCGGTCTGAATGCATCAATAGAGAGATCTCTTCTGCTGGACATGTGCTGTCGACTCAAACGTTGTGATTTTACAGGTCGAGTGAACTTATCGGGTCTCCGCTGGCGAATTTCAGGTACCGACAACCATTCATAGGGTATGACCTACTCTTAGAGATACTCAGCTTCGACATCTGCAAAATTCCCCTATATATAGGTGCGTGAGGAACGTGATAGCCGTAAAGATAGAACGACTAGGTCGTCGCAGATGTGGCAAGTGAAAGAAGCGGACCTCGCCCTTGACTCCTGACGCTAAGGCACCCGCGCTAGCACACGCGGAGCAGGAGCCCCGCCCCACGTCGCGGAATGGCTTGCTGTCAACGCGTTTTCCTCGGAAACAACTTGCTAATTGTTTGCGGATATGGGAATATCCTAAGTCGCTTCGAGATTTGACTCGCAATCGCAGTGGGTTATTCGCCATTGGTATCCCTTGCCCGAAGCAATTGGCTGACTTCCCCGTCAAGGCACCGACGCGTTCGCCATCAACGCCGACGACGCGCTACCATCAAGATGCTAGCGGATGGGAAGATCGACTCGCTAGATACGCACCTGGAGCAGTTTAAACTCAATGATCAGGCCAGGCAAAATGATCTAACAGTAGGTCAATACCGAGATGTCCTCACTATCTAGGTAATCCGCATTTCGCTAACCCCGCTTAGAACCTCCTTAGAGAGTATGGCCAACTACTCGATGAATACAAAGACCTAAAGAGAGCCTATGAACAGAAAGGCAAGGGCACTATCGCTGCGCCTCCGGGTATACCTATACCAACCATAGCTGCGCCAACAACGGCTCGTAACCCATATGTGTTGGTCTTGATAGACGGCAACAACTACATCGTCAGTATCATCCCAACGATCAAGTTTCGCGCTAACAGATTCCAGTTTAACGATGAATTTATTCGCGACAAAGAAGAGGGCGGAATGCGCGCTGCTCGTATGCTCAACGACGCCATAGAAAAGTACCTGCAACAAAGCGTTCCACAGGCCCGATCCGCTCGCATACATGTCAAGATCTACGCAGACTTGACCAATCTATCTAAGCAACTCGCAAGATCTAAACTCGTCGGTTTGGAAAAGCGATCGCTGTCTCCTTTCTCCGCTGCATTCACCCGAGCCATCAGCCTCTTCGACTTCGTTGATGCTCTAGACGAAGAAGGCGCCAAATTCAAGATCAGGGAACAGTTCAAGATTGCCTCCGAAGACTCAGCGTGCAGCCATATCTTGTACGCCGCTTGCCACGATCCGGCTTATCTATCTCAACTCGTACCCTTCAGTGGTGTACGTGACAAGATTACGCTTGTCCAAGGCGCTGGATGGAACTCGGAGTTCCACCAGTTCAACTTGAACGTCACGCAATTTCCGACTGTCTTTAGATGGTCGGAACTTCCCGTCACTGTGCCCAACCCGAAAGGCGGTCCATCCACAGCACCCAAACAAAAGGCACTAGCCGCAGTACAGAAACCAATACTCACTTCCGGAACACCAACTCCGCGCAAAGAATCATGGAGACGAGACGACTCATTCAGCATGAGCGACTCCGCCTTCGGCGACCTCTCTCCGGTAGAATCCAACAGTTTCTTCGACCAAGAACGCGTAGGCTGGGAAGACCGCTCAGCATACACCCAAACAGCCAAAAAAGGCTCTTCGAAACCGGAAAACAACTCGCAGCTATGCAAATACTTCCAAAAAGGAAACTGCCGCTTCGGCAACAAATGCAACTTCCTCCACATCCCTAAGGACCTCTCCAATACAAACGGACCCAGTTCTACGCAACCACCAAGAGGGCCCACAGGAGCGCCATACCCCTCTCTGCCCCTTTCATCCCAATCTTCACAACGAAACAACCCGGATACCACACCGCTATCCGCCCTCCTCCCCGCCGCCCCAATCCCCGGCTTCATCACCCTAAACACCTCGCACCAACGCCTCGACCCCCACCTCCCCATGCCTTTACCCTCCGCCTGGAAAACCTACAATGCGCGCTTCGCCAAAGCAAAACCCTGCAACACATTCCACCTGCAACAGCGCTGCACCACGCCAAACTGTCCTTTCGATCACAGCGAACTAGAACCCGAGGCGAGGCAAGTGCTGGAGTATGTGGTGAAGTGTAATCCTTGTCCGAGGAAAGGGGCGTGTAGACGGGGGGATTGCTTTTATGGACATCATTGTCAGAGGGAGGGGTGTAGTGAGGGGGAGGGGTGGGGCGTTAAGAAGTGTCGGTTTAAGAGGGAGATGCATTACGTTGAGAGTGATTTAAGGGTGGGAAGTTTGGTGCCTGCTGGGGAGGATGTGGGTGGGAGTGGGAATGGAGTGGGGATGAGCGGGTTGGAGGTTGGTGATGGGGAGGATTTTATGTGGTAGGGTGGATAGATTGGGGGGATGGAGGTGGGAGTTTGAAAGAATGGCGATGTATGGTAACTTATCACATATACGTCGCAGAGCGCTTTACGACTTTCCAGCTGTAGGATCAGGTCTGGCAATGGGAAGGTCTTGAAGCATCTAAGGAGCAACTGCATTTATGACATATGACCGAACCTTTACTATCATTCTATCTAATACATGCTGCCGTAATAATACCCTTGTTGCCATGTAAGCTCATCCCAAGCAACCTTCCCACCCCGTCTGTAAACTACCTTGAAGAGTGGGTATCATCCCCATAAACACCATACAGGAAATACAAACAAGAAACAGAAAAGCGCATCCAACAAGACCGAAGTCTGGAAGAAACTACAAAACATTACACAAAGAATACAACATACATTACTGAAAACCGCCTTACTTCTCAGCTGTAGGCGCCTCAACAGCCCTACTCGTCCCATCCACCTCCACAATCTCAATTTGCCTGCCCCTCCCCATCCCCGGCCACTCTCCACCCGAGCCACGCTGCTGCCACACCTTATCGACCTCGCTACTTGGGCTCCCTGGTGACGACAAGCCCTGCGAGGAGAAGCCCGGAGAAGGAAAGCCCATGGCGTTATACTCGACCATACCCCTGGACTCTCTTTGATGAAAAGCACCAGTAGAGCGGGCGGTATTTCGTGCTTCGGTCCTACGCCGCCGCCAAGCGAGAAAGACGACGAAACCGATGAAAGAGAGGAAGAGACATGCGCCGATGGTACCGCCTACGATAGCGCCTAGACTGGGTTTCGAAGAGCTGGAAGAAGAGGCGGAATCAGACTGGGATGTAGGCGAGCTGACTGGTTCCTTGGTGACAGTCGCATAGACTGTTTCTTTTTCTGGGGCGCTGCTCGAGAGACTCATACCCAGGCTGTGGTATGCGGTGCTGGTGAAGCCGCTGGCTGCGCAGCCGTGTTGCGTGAGGACAATTCTGTCGTAGATGACGTGGTATGCGTAACAGGCTGGTGCAGAGCTTTCTGTGCATTTCAAGATGAAGGCGTTCGTTGAGCAGGCGGCGTCTGTGCAGGAGGCTGATAAGGCGGTGGACGGGATGCATGTTGTGGCTAGGTTGCAGTCGGTCGTTCGGGATGAAGGGCAGCAGCCGAGTGCGCCGAAGACCTTGTTTGAAGAGCATTCATCTGTTGGGTTGGGGCAGGTTATTGCGCTGACTGTGAGATATTAGTGAGGTTTAGAACTAGATGGAGGATGAGATTACCTGAGATGCCAGAGCCAGAGACATATCCACAAGTATTAGCTCCGCCGTCCTGCCGTCTGGAGAGATCGAACGGTAACTGTGGAGCTGCCGTAGGTGCTGGACTCCAACCATCCATCGATGGAGTATACTGTGTAGCCTCAGGTAACGAAAACGCAGCCGCATATACCATGGTCGATCCTAACAAGGCAAGAAGAAGAAGTGTAACCGCCATCTCGATTCCATGTGCGCAGCTCTTTAACTAAGTAAACAAGTCAACCTCGAACCAGGTAATCAAGTATGACGACGGCCAGACACCAGAAAACGTCGTGCACGTCGAGTAGTATGAGGTGCAAAGGCGAAGATCGCTACGCAATGCAGCAGACTATAAGAAGCCCACAACATCTTACGCGGCTGAGTGCATGTGGGAGGGAACCCAGCACCCTAGCAACACATGTTGCGGCAGGGTAAGCTCCAGAGCTTCCCTAGCTGTAGAAATCGGGCCATGGCCCTGGCGATCCAATCGAAAGCGGTTTCGTCTGGCGATGATGCGGGCGAGCTGGGGTAGCTTCAGGTAAGGCGTCACATTACACCCTTCACCTCTTCGCACATCAGGCCAATCACGCCTTGCATTTTCCGCCCTGGACAAGACGTGTACGCGGTGGGCCAGTGAGGGGGTTGGGCAAGGTCTGGTGTGCGGCCGGATGGAGGTTGGTGTAGGATCAGGTCGGCTTGGGGCGCAGCAGCGCATTGGTAGGCGGGCTGGTGGGGTGTAGAGTGAGTGGGTCTAAGCCTGCATGTGGCGTTGGGCGAAAGAAGGTAAATATAGCCCAAGTGAGCACGATGCACAGCATAATTATGCGGGATGACGAGCGGGGTATAATACTGCAGTAATCCCTTAGTTCGATGTCTTTATCTATTGGGCGATGAGATGGAGAGTTGACCTTCAGGCCTGCGATGAAACATACAAAGGTGTATTGCACGTGGATGCACGTGGGGGATTACATGCACTGCCTTTTTCGGCAGATTGTGGTCCTCAAGATGGCTCGCTGTTGCATCATTGAGTGGTAGTCGGTCTGGGAAATGAAGCCAACAGACAAAGCAGAGCGGTCGTACGCGAAGGGTCGTCCTGCGGTTAGGCTAAGACATCTGACGGCCAAGGCCAGGTCGTGGTCTGAGGCCTCCCTTGCGTGAGCTTTGATGCGTACGTAATGGCTCTGATAGATGTTCGTTTTGGATTCAAGATAGCATGCCCGACTCTTCCTAGATTCGTCTATATACAACGATGGTAACCATAACGCCTGTCGATGAATCCATCGACTTGAACTCCCCCATGATGCTGTTTCGTACGGGTGGCCGTCGTAAGGGTATACATAATGTACAAAGGAATGCGTGTGCGGTCTAGTCCCGCTTGTGGGGGCCGACGATCTTGGGGTACATTCTTGAGAGGTGGTAATTGATGTTGTTCTTCTTCTGGTTGGGGTTTCGCTATGAAAGGTTAGACGTGTCTGTGAGTGGATAGGAGGTGAACGTACTGGTGCATCCATGCATTGCCGTAGTTTCTGTTCAAGCTGTGCGCAGCCTTGCACACTGTAGCCGGAAGATGCCCAGCATCCTGTAGCCATGTCAGCCCAGATTCGTGGTGGCTTCCCCATTGCATTCCACACAGCGTTGCGCCTTCCTTCGATATATTCCAATCTTTTCACATACCCAGAACTGATGACATTGCTCCTAAGCATGGGTTCGCCTCTGGCTTGTTCGGTCGGCGGACGCGGAGTTTTGGCAGTGGTGGGAGGGGTCGGTGCGTGGCCGACTGGACGGCGGTGCCTGAGGGCTTCGGTACCATCTTGTAGATGCGGTTCGGGAGACGAATGCGACTTGGATGCGACGTGAGTGCTGGTGCTGTACGAATTGCGAGAGGCGATGGCGTCGTCGTCGTCGACTCGGTGGATTCAAAAGTTTCCGCCGCGGCAATCTCCTTAGCGTGCCTGCCCCATCCTAATCCCTGTCCGGCTTTGTTTACGATCGCACCTTCCTAGCGACGGAGGCCAACACAGACGACACCCTCGTCACGACCATACTAACGAGCCTACGACACAGTTCCCATGTTTGCGCGCCATTGATCTATTCATTACAGTAATAATACACGCCCGACGTCATGGTTTTCACTCCGCGCAAGCGCGCCGCGCCCACAGCAACCTTCGACAACACCTGGAACGAGACCAATGCGGCATTCCTCGACCCAAATGCGCTGCCAGTCTCCAAAATACCGCGAGGATGGGAGAGGAAACAAGAAGTAAAGAGGGTGGGCGAAGGAAAGGAGAAGAAGATCTGGCGCAGATTCAATCTCAGGTCGCGTGCCGACGACACACCACAAGAAGCAGAAGACGAGGACGAACGAGACGCGCGTTCAAGACCGGTAAAGAGGCGGCAGCACATGAGCCCAAAGGCGATGGAGAAATCAACGAGCAAGCTTGGCGGCAAAAAGCGCGCGTTCAAGGCGACGCGCTGGGACCGCAGGAAGAGCGTTCTGCCAAGTACGTTACCGACGCGCATGGCTGAGACATTCGCTGACTATGTACAGGGAAGAGAGCGACTCAGACCGAAGACCCCGCGATCGGCGCAAACGACGAAGTCGATAGTGAAGAGGAGGGAGATAGTGCTCAAACCCTGGAACGCGAGGATAGCATCAACGAGACAGACACGAACATAATCGAACAGACAGAATCACTAGGAGTTATATCTTCCACATACGAAGAGACGTCGACTTTCACTTTCGCCGTGGACGCGCCGACGGCCGAAGCTACCGATACCGAGATCATAGACGCAGACGACCAAGAACAAGAAGAGGCAGAATCCACACAGGACGCGACGCTCGCGAAACTATTCCGTTCGCCACTGAGGGAGCAGTCGAACATCCCGACCGCATCGCCGGAGAAGGTCGAATATCCAGAGCTTCCTCTGAGCGACAACTTGGAAGCAGAGGCGGAGACGGCTATGACCGAGGTTGTATCCACCGAGATGGTCGGCAATGTCGCAGAGGAGACAAATCAAGGGGAAACAATCTCCATGCGCGGAGGACCCCGAGAGAATGTTGAGATCCCAGACCAGGTTGTCAAGCAACAAGACGAGACCATGCGTGAAGAGGCGGACCCGGTTCCAGACACACCAGAGCCGGTGACACAGCTTCAGTACCCAGCGTTGCCGTTGGAAGATACTACGACTTCGCCGCTACCAGCGCTCGACGAAGACGTGAGCGAGGAAGACGAGGAAGATGTTGAGTTATCTGAGGTTGAGCTAGGAACATCGACAGATGCAGTTCGGAAAGAAGATACACTCCACTCCTCTGAAGCGGTCGACCGTGAAGACGAGTTTACGGAAGCTTCTTTGCAGCTGAACATATTGCGGGATTATCAAGCAGCGCTTCAAGAGCACAGTCTTGCGCTTACAGCGATTCAGTCAGAGCCCAACGAGCTTGAGCAAGAAGAGATGGATGATGATATGCGGCCTGAGGAGGAACCAGCCTCTCCTGAAGCTCTTCAGTCACCTGCCCAGGACCTTGCCATGGCCGACGCGCCTGCCTCAGCATCTATAGACATCGCCGATGGATTGACATTCTCGTTCACACCCAGCAAACCACAGTCGCCCGCCCCACGCAGACTACACTCGCCTCCGCCTCCACCACGTCCTGAATCCGGACCTGACGATGTCACAATGACGGTCGCTATCGATGATGACACCGCCATGCTCAAGGACTTCCTCACGCGTGCTGCCGCAAGCAAGGCTGAGAAGGCCGCAGTCACTACACACAAGAGAGAATCTCTACAGAACCGACGAGACTCAGATATCATCAAACATGCCCTAGCCTCACCCCGCAAGGTGCTTGAAGAGAAGGACCCCAACTCACCCACGAAGCAGCACACCGAATTGACGCTGGATCTGTCGCAAACGCTCACACTAGCCAAACCAGATGAAAAGCTCCCATCACCTAACCCCGGCGCGACAGAAACCGAAACCGCGGAAGAGAAGAGCGAACAAGGATCAAGACGTTCTGCACGAGCAAAGAAGACAAGGCTACCTACTCCCGCATCAATCGGCCCAGCACCAGCACCCAAAATCAACATCCGCCGTGCCGACGGAAATGAAGTCGTCGTACTCAAGAAGGACGACGCCAAAGTACTCGCCGACATGACACGCAACAACACGCGCAAGAACAAACAGGGTGCTTTCTGCGTCACCGTCCGACTAATGAAGCTCGCCATGGACTACTCCAGCCTCCCTCCCCTCGACGACTCCACCAAAGAACTCGTCGTCGGCAAAAACGTACGCTGGGACGAAACACTAGCATACTACCAAGAGAACCCCGAGACCCTCGCCAACGCCTTAGCAGACGCAGAGTCTCTAGCCACTCCAGACGAACTCGGCATGTCGGACTGCACCCCCGAGCCCAAGAAGAAGAAAGAAAAGACCAGCAAGAACTCCACGCCAAAGATACGCAGAGTACGCGGACTGGGCACATCGAATGGTACGCCTGGGAAGGGATTGCTGGCACCTGCTAGTCTCCTCCCTGAAGCAGTTCAAGAAGAAAAGGCCGCGACGCAGGAGAAGCAATCGTCTAAGCCAAAATCGACCAAAGTCAAGAAGATGGTCGTTGCCTCCTCCACTTCTTCTACCACCTCCACGGCTACTTCCACCTCTACCCCAACATCAACATCAACATCCCTAAACAGCAGTCTCTCCTCCAGCACAACAGACACTAAACTTCCTTCTCTCGACGTCGCACCCGTAGGCGTCCAACGCAAGAGCCGGCTTGCGGCACCGAAAAAGGTGGTTTTGCCACAGACACCTTCTTCCTCCAAGGCTGGTGACAAGGAGAATGTGAGTAGAGTGGGGATGGGTGATGCGACGCCTAAGAAGGGTTTGATGACGCCCAAGGTGGTTATCCCGGCGAGTGCGACGGCAGGTGTGGGTATGGGAATGGGAGTGGAAAGTGGGCTGCCAAGACGGAGGGGCCGGAAATATTAGCTTGAGTGTTGAAAACGGTGTGATGTTTTTGGGTTCATCTTTGGGATGCTTTATACCATTTTGCTCTTTTGAGTTGTTTATGCATCTATGGTGTTTTTAGCGGTGGCGTTTGGTGGGCATGGGCATTTACACTGCGTCATTACTAGCATAATGCACGCTCGACATCAATCCAATCACAAGATCCATCCTGATATCATTCTCCTGAGACATGATCACATACTCGTAAGTCGATTGCTTTTCTCTCTACCCTAAAACTCCTTAAACCCACTCCCCATCCACCACCCAACCATCCCCATCTAAACATTCAACTCACTAACCTTAGCCCCCTCAATATACCCCTGATACCTCTTCAACTTCCCCTCAAGCACACCCCCCTTCCCACAAAACTTCTCCACAATCTCCTCGCTCCTACCCGTATACAACTTACTATCCAGCATACCATCCAACTCGCCCCAAATCGGCTTAAAGAACTCCGTGCTACGGATCCTATCCACCAAATCATTGCTCTTACCCTCATTCTTGACCTGCGCACCAGCCTGGTGCGACAGCACGCGGATCTGCTCGTGGGCTTCTTGGCGCGACTCACCCTTGGCGACGAGGCGCATGATGATGGATTCGGTGATCATGAAGGGCAGTTCTTCCTGCACGCGCGCGTCGACGCGCTTGGGGTATACGACGAGGCCGGATGTTACGTTGTCGAGGGAAAGCAGGATGGCGTCGGCGAGGAGGAACATCTCTGGGATATCCATGCGCCGGATTGCGGAGTCGTCGAGGGAGCGCTCCATCCATTGGTCGGAGAGCGTGTTGGCGAAGGACGCGGGCTTGGACATGAGTTCGCGGGATAGGGCGTAGATGCGCTCGGAGCGCATGGGGTTGCGCTTGTAGGCCATGGCCGAGGAGCCGATTTGGTCTTTTTCGAACGGCTCTTCGAGCTCTTTCCACGCGGCCAGGTGCCGGATGTCGCCGGTGATCTTTTGGGCGGATGCGCCGAGCCCGCAGATGGCGTTGGCGATTAGGAGGTCGACTTTGCGGGTGTAGGTTTGCGTCGAGATGGCGTAGCAGGACGGGAAACCGGCTTTTTTGCAGAGAAGCTCGTTGAGCTGGTCGCACTTTTTGCTGTCGCCGTTGAAGATCTCGAGGAACGAGGCTTGCGTGCCGGTTGTGCCTTGGGCGCCTCGGAATTGGAGTGTTTCGCGAACGAGCTCGATGGCTTCGAGGTCGAAGAGGAGGTCTTGCGCCCATTGGGCTGCGCGCTTGCCTACGGTGATGAGTTGAGCGGGTTGCAGATGCGTGTAGGCGAGGGTGGGCTCGCTCTTCCATTGCAGGGCGAAGGCTGAGAGGTTGGAAATGACCTTTGCGAGTTTGGGGAGGAGGAGATCCAGGCCGTCGCGCATGAGGATTAGTTCTGCGTTGTCGGTTACGTAGCAGCTTGTTGCCTGTGGGATATCAGTTTGAATCATCTTGATTTTTACACTTGAAAAAACATACGCCGTAATGGATAATACCAGCAGCAGCCGGAGCAACCTGACCAAAAGCGTGCACATGCGCCATAACATCGTGTCTCCTCTTCTTCTCCTCAACCTTGGCAACACCGAAATCATCATCCGTAACAGTCAGATGCTCCCTCATCTGGGAGAGCGCATCATCAGTGATACTCTGGATACCAAGCTCTTTCTCTGATTCCGCGAGGAATAACCACAGCTTGCGCCATATTGAGTGCCGGCTGCGCTGCGAGAAGAGTTGCGACATCTCCGGCGAGCAGTACCGGCCGGTGAGAGACGTCTGGTACGCATCGAAGATGGTGGCACCAGATTGCGCCTTCATAGTCGATATGCGAGACTGAATATCGAGGGAAGCGTCCTGAGCGGCCATGATTGCGCGTGTGTATGAGGAGAGCGTGTGAGCGTGAGTGTGATGTGGTGGTCGACAACTTTAACGGTTCGTTTGTGGATTAGCCCGATAGTCTTCCGAATTCGGTATCAACGTTTGCTCTCAGCGTTCCTTGTAGTATTTCGCAACACGTATGCTAGCACTACAATCAAAGGGTTATAGAGCTGAACTGAGGGGGTATCGTGAGGTCAAATTCCAAACGGTGATTCACAGCGTCGTGGGCCACCCTTTTTCTTATCCCAACAGACCAATGACGTCCTCACGTGTAGCCAAAAAGTTTTGGTCCCTCGCTAAACCCCACATTTAGCTACTATCGCACCTTTGCAAACGCACGTCAATGGTCGATTGTCATCCTACTGTCGGAACCTGAGATAGGCCGATCGACAAGAAAATGGCGATTTGGAGTAGCAGAAATTTTCCCGCGCGCGTTGTTGGGGTTCTGGGCGGTTTTGAGGCTCCTTGTAGCGATCTTTTGCTACAAGGCATCTCCGAATTGCTTCACTCCTACATGTCTTTCAAGTCCTCGGCGGTTGATTCCCCGGTCGTATTCGATTAAATGACCAAGAATTCCCCCACGCAAGTGACATGTCAAGTTCAGACGTGTTCAGCGGCATAACTAGAGTCTAGACCTTGGTATCTCATGATGCGCTTACTCCACAAAACTATATCCACCAAGAGCCGTAACCCGTTCATGCGGTTCATGCGGCTCTGTCCAAATACGAACTCCACATTTGTTTCCGTCTCCGCGGGCTCACAGCGCCGGTCCCTTCCATACGTCGCGGTTGATTTTGAACAGGTTGCTCTGCTTGTGTGGGAGGCTGATCTCGCGCTCCTTGTAGAAGCCAGCTTCTTGGAGGTAGTTTGCCAGTCTAGACAGTTAGTATTGTACTCCATGTGTAGGATGCAAGACTTACTTCTCGTTATCGACCCTCGGCTCCAACATGACCCTCTCCGTCCGGTTATCCGCGAGCCAACAGTAGTGCACTAACGCACTCAACCAGATCTTGACCCTATGCGCTCCTCTAAACTCCTGCTCGCCGACCAAGCAGTGGAAGCCCCGGTCATAATCGCTAACGATGGGCAGGTATTTTCCAAGGTTGTCCTCCTTGACCCAGTATAACTCAAAGTAGCCGAACGGCTTCCCGTCCCAGCATCCCATGACCGGGAACGAGTTCTTCGATTGTAGGCCGTTCTTGAGGAACTGCTCCTGGTGGGACTGCGGACCCGCCTCGCCCCAGAAATGCGATACACGGGGGTCGTTCATCCACTTGTGTAGGTATTCCGGATCTGACATGCCGTTTGGACTGGGCGCGTGGCTGGAGACCGGCCCCTGGTGTCGGAGCGCTTTCGAAGAGATGGAAGCTACTCGGAAAGACAGATATTGCCCAACGCTGGGTATGTACCGTGTGTATAGTATCTCGCCCTGCCGAGGTGGCTTCGGTCGTATCGGGTGTCGGGTATTGTTCGTGAAGACGTATTGCGCGGGAGGCGGTGGGTAAAACGTGGGTAGATGCGAGCTCGAGTGGAAAGGGCCTGGCGCAGTCGGTGACCACAAGCCTGGTGAGACCTGGTCGAGCTGATGCTCTTGCTTCGCATCAGATCCAAGCGCGGGGGACGACGGTCGCGAGGGATACGGCGAGCCTGACGGAAAGGGTGAGTTTGTGTTGGCCAGCGGCGAGAGAGTGAAGAGGTATATTCTGGGGTCGAGCTGCCAGAAGGTCCTCCGACTGACAAACATGCGCTCCCAGCCCTCAGGAGACGATTCCTCTTGTGCACACCCAACGGTCGAATCTTCGCTGGCGATCAGTCCCATGCGCTCCAACTTGGGCAGCACGACCTTGCCCTTGAACACGCCCTCCCTGTTGATGTTTATGCGCCATTCGCCCTTTGGCTTTCCGGCATCGGCAGTGTTCTTGGAGATCGCGTTCGTGACTTGTAGCGTCGGTTCGGGCTGGTGAAAGTACCAGTACAGTGTCGCCCACAGCATCATCGCGATCTGGCGGGTTGGTGAGGCAGCGGGCTTGAACTCGCTACTGCTGGGGTTCGATATCGACGATATGTAGAGGTGGTCTCCGTTCAGGGTGGGCTTCTTGAAGCGATGTACATGTCGCGGTGGGAACAGCTCCTCCTCGCCCTGCTGCTGCTGCTCCTGTTCGTCCGTAGGGAGCTCATCTTCGGAATTGAGCACAATGGTCCAGCCAGGTGGGAACGGCGAATGCGTGTGAACATCGCTCGACTTAAAGAAGAGGCCGCCAAACACGGGCGTGACGGTAAGGTTTTGGCCGTTGGGCAGATGGACGACATTGACTGGCGCCATGATGACGTTGGCGGGGTAGCTCGATTATGTTAGAAGAAAGATGGAGCGCGAAGCACGATGGTAATGGTAATGTTCCAAATGCAGGGCAACCCTCAATCACCTCACATGGGGTGAGATCTATGGTACTTGGATCAAGCGTGTCTTTTTTGCGGCACGCGATAGTCACAAACTGCACAGCTGTCACCCACGTCTTGATTGACTAGTTTCTGTCTGAGAACGCCCGCGCGGGGCTTTCGCGGGGCATTAGCATACACTGGAGCTTTCTGTTCATTTTGAGATACTCTCACATGAGAATGCACATGTCCTGATACAGATGCTGCATACATCATGCGAACGTAAGGCGACATGCAGGCGTCATCATTGGCCGGGGAGCGCATGGCCGTGAGGGAGTGGAGGAGCTCTGAGCTCGGCGGTCGGCATGTTCGCATATGACGAAATGGGCAGTTGATAAATCCGAAGCTTCCCCAGAGTTCCACGACCTCTCAACACCACAACACCAACAACAACACACCACACACCCAATTGAACGCACCACATCAATTGAAGCCATCATGAACACCGCACTCCTCCGCACATCCGCCCTGCGCTCCGCAGCCCGCGCCGCAGCTCCCACCACATCTCGCGCCGGCCTCGCGGGCACGACATTCGTTCGCGGCAAGGCCACGCTGCCCGACCTCCCATGTACGAGCCCATCCCACCAGAAAGATACATCAGCTACTAACACCCCCCAGACGACTACGGCGCGCTCGAACCCTCCATCTCCGGCAAGATAATGGAGCTGCACCACAAGAACCACCACAACACCTACGTAACCTCCTTCAACAACTTCAGCGAGCAAATCGCCGAAGCCAAGCAAAAAGAAGACATCAAGGCGCAAATCGCCCTGCAGCCCTTGATCAACTTCCACGGCGGCGGCCACATCAACCACAGCCTCTTCTGGGAGAACCTCGCGCCTGCCAACCAGGGCGGCGGCGAGCCCCCGTCGGGCGCCCTGTCCGCTGCTATCAACAACAGCTATGGCAGCCTTGACGCGTTCAAGGAGAAGTTCAACACGGCGCTTGCGGGCATCCAGGGAAGCGGTTGGGCGTGGTTGGTGCAGGATACCCAGACTGGTGCTATTCAGATTAGGACGTATGCGAATCAGGATCCGGTTGTGGGGCAGTTCCGTCCTATTCTGGGTGTTGACGCTTGGGAGCATGCTTACTAGTGAGTTTACCATCGAGTGTTAATGAAGAGCTTCTGACTAACGATTTCCAGCCTCGACTACCAGAACCGCAAGGCCGAGTACTTCAAGGCCATCTGGAACGTCATCAACTGGAAGGCCGCTGAGAAGCGCTTCCAGTAGATCCTATGCCTCTTCGGCAGGACAAGGTTCCTAATTCGCCGTTGACATGGAGGTGATCAAGTACAATTGATCTTCATAGTCTGTATAGTGTAGTAATGCAAGCGAATAGATTAATGCAAAATTACAAATCGTAATCATTCGTCATCCCATGTATATACCCTCGAAATTACCTACTTGCTATGCTAAATATGTTCAAAACGTTGATAATGCAGATATTGCTAACGAACTCTTCTAACGCTGTACGATGCGATCCCAAAGAAATGCCAGATGCCAGATGCCAAATACCAACCAAACACCCCTAATACGCACAAAGACAAAACTAATGCCTAACCCCCTGCATCCACCGATCAATCTGATCCCTCTGTCTGGGATCCATGGGCGGCTCCATCATGCCCCCATGCATCATCCCATTCATACCCATCGGCATCTGCATGCCGTTCATTCCCATCCCGCCCATCTGCATGCCACCCATTTGCATACCGTTCATCTGCATACCACCCATCTGCATCGGCATCTGCATACCCATACCGTTCATCTGCATGCCCATGCCATTCATCTGCGATCCCATACCCATCATACCGCCCTGTTGCATCATGCCAGGCTGCTGCATGCCCATCTGCATGGGCATACCCATCATGGACTGGTGTTGTCCCATGCTGTTCATCATGCCTGGCATTTGCATGCCCATCATGCCCTGTTGAGGCGGCATGGCGCTCATTCTTTGCTGGTTGGCCATCATCATGGGGTTCTGAGCGTTCTTGTAGGCTTGGATCTTCTGGCCGAGCGGGATGTCGTCGTCGTCTTTTTGGTTGTTGGTCATGTTCTTCAGAAGTGGGTCCATGGAGCCGTAGGAGGTGGCGCGCATGGTTGCGGTGAGACGTTGCTGCTTTTTGCGCCCTTGGTCTAGCTCGTTTTGGTGGAGGAGACTGCCTTGGGGGAGGTGCGAGACAAGGGCTTCGTTGGAGACTTTGCGCGCTTGGTTGTGAGGGTCAATGGGGTTGGCGGAGAGGATGTCGGCGAGACTGCTTGAGGAACGCAGATTGGGTCGGTGGCCGGGTTGGGGGGCTTGTTCGCCTCGTAGGGCGGCTTCGGCTTGCAGGCGGGCGCGACGCTGGCCGAGGGTCTCTTCTTCCTCTTCGTCGTCGGCAGCGGGTGGGGGTGCTGGGGGAGTGTCTTTGGATTGCTCCTGCCCTTCTGGAACACCGAACTTGCTCATCATCTCAGAGGCGAAGTCATCGCTGACTGTACTCTTGCGCACATCGCCAAGTGCTGATTCACGTTGTTGCTTCTCCTTGATGCGGCGCATACGGTCAGCCAGCG